GCCATAAAGGGATCTTCTTGAATTCCATGTCTACTCAGACAAGGGAAACAAAAGAAAAAATAAACAAGTGGGACTTCATCAGATTAAAGAGCTTCTACAAGGCAAATGAAACCAGGATCAAAATGAATAGGGAACCCACCAGCTGGGAAAAAATATTTGCAAACTGTATATCTGACAAGGGGTTAATCTCCATAATATATAAAGAACTCACACAACTGAATAACAATAACAACAAAAAAAACTAATCAAAAAATGGGCAGAGGAAATGAACAGACACTTCTCCAAAGAAGATATATAGATGGCCAATAGGCACATGAAAAGATACTCAACATCACTAGTCATCAGGGTATTGCAAATCAAAACCACACTAAGATAGCACCTTACACCCATTAGAATGGCTATAATCACCAAGACAAAAAGCAACAAATGCTGGAGAGGCTGTGGAGAAATGGGAACCCTAATTCACTGCTGGTGGGAATGCAAACTGGTGCAGCCTCTATGGAAAACAGTATGGAGATTCCTCAAAACATTAAAAATAGAAATACCTTATGATCCAGCTATCCCACTACTGGGTATCTACCCAACGAACCTGAAATCAACAATCCAAAGAGGCTTGTGCACCCCTATGTTCATCGCAGCATCATTCACTATAGCCAAGACATGGAAGCAACCCAAGTGTCCCTCGACTGATGAATGGATAAAGAAGATGTGGTATATATATACCATGGAATACTACTCAGCCATAAAGAAAGACAAAATCATCCCATTTGCAACAACATGGATGGACCTGGAGGGTATTATGTTAAGTGAAATAAGCCAGAAAGAGAAAGACAAACAGGGCATGATTTCACTCATATATGGAAGATATACCAATACACGCACAGGAAAAAAAAAAGTTACATGGAGTTAAGTATTGTACCCTCCTTATTCTTCCAGAAGTTTGGTTGTTAACATTAAAAAGACATTCCTCCAATGCCTGAAATGCCCTTCACAGTGTCCTTCGCCTTACAAGAGCTTGGGAACAGTCACAGGAAGGTGAGCACAAGATTTTTACTCTGGTTCTTTGATTTTTTGCTTTACAGGGATTTGCATACATGTTTCTGAAAATTAAAAAACCAGGAGATAGAGATAAGCATCTGAATTAGTTTTCTACTGATGCATATTAACAGATTACAAAAACAGTGCTTTAAAACAGCACACACTTATTATCTTACACTTCTGTAGATAAGAAGTCTGCAACAACATGGCTGGGTTCTCTGCTCAGCATCTCACAAGGCTGAAATCCAGGTGTCAGCTGGCTGTATTTTCATCGAATGATCAGACTCCTCTTCCCAGCTCACCACAGTTATTGGCAGAATTCATTTGCTTGTGGTTGTAGGACTGAGGTCCCTGTTTCTTGTGCTGGCAATCAGCCAGAGGCCAGTCTGCTTCTAGAGGCCACCTGTGTTTTTTCTCATGTAGCTTTCTCCATCGTCAAACCAGTGACAGTGCATTGAGTCCTTCTCATGCTTGAGTCTCTCTGATTTTGTCTTTACCTACAGGCCAGAGAAAGCTCTGGTCTTTAAGGAGTCATGTGATTAGATCTGGCCCACCCACGTGATCTCCTCATCTTAAAGTCAACTGTGCCCTAGAACAACAAGAGCAGAAGACCATGTCTCATCACATCAGCAAGATCCAGGGATTTGGGTAAGACGTATTTGGAGACAATTTTAGAAATTCTGCTTACCACTGTCCAACCTCTAGTTCCAAGGGATACATGTCCCTTTCAACTGCAAAATACATTCACCTCACCGCTGAGGTTTCCCAAGCTTTGTCCCATGACAGCATCAGTTCAAAGTAAAAAAGATCATGTCGACCTCATAAGCTCTGAAGTCCAAAATCTCACCTAAATCATGTACATCAGGTGTAGATGAGGATCCTGAGTGTGTCCACTAAGCATGGCTCCTGGGCACAATTCCCCTCCATCTGTCGACCTATGAAACTAAAGAAACAACTTATCTGCGTCCAGTGTGCAATGGTTGGACAGACATAGGGTGACAGTTATTCTGATTCCAGTTCAAAAAGTTGGAAAATGGAAGGTATAAGGAAGTCACTGATTCAAAATAATTTGGAAATCCAGCTAAGCAAACTCCAGCAGGAAATCTTCAGTGAAGTTTCAAGGCCTGGGAATAATCCACTGTGACATATGGCTTTGCCTCTGGGCTCTGTGCTCCCCATTTGTTTGCATCTTCATTTAATTCGTTATTATTTGTTTCTTTCTTCTTACGCTCCTCTGGCTCTACCTCTTCCTGCCCATGGCAGCATCCCCCCCTTAATTGATCAGTATGTCCTGCCCACCTGAATAGGTCTGATATTGATCATGTCATGGTTCTGACTCTCTCCCACTAGGGAGAGATCTCATGCTCCTCTGGGATCCTCTTTATTGACCTGATTTCTATCAGTCATGATTTCTCTCAGCTCACCAGGTGGCTTAGGAGAATGCCCAGAACTGTGGAGCCCCAGAACTGATCTCTGCCATCCCTTTCTCCAAGAGGAGAATAAAAGAGGTTTTCATAAAGAAATGACCCATATGAGGGCTGAGATCCAGTGATTAGAGCAGAGGAGAAACAAAAGGACAGTGGAGGTGCTAAAAGCCCAGACTGCAGAAGCAGGGTCCTCTTTGTGTCCCACATCAAATAGGAACCCTTCTTGGAAAGGGTTTTCCCATGGAAAGGCCACCTTGGACAAGGGACTTGCTTTGCTCCAGCTGAGTCATTCTTGTTGTCACTAGGGCTTCTGAGATCTCTGTGCTAGGATGTTTGTTTAATGGTCGGGCTTTTTCCTCCCATGAAAATCTCCTTGGAATTTTTGTCTGAAATGCAGTTTCTTGGGCCTTCTCTCCAGAGGTTTTTAACAGGCACCATGTTGACTCTGATGTAGGTGTTCTTTAGCTCTGCAACTAGTGCCCAGGGATTGGAGCCCTGTCTGCTGCAGGATATCACATTTAATCACCCAACACTCTCATGGTCAATGCTGCCGTCTCTACTTTACGTTATACTTTCTTCTCTATTATAGATTATACGTTATATATTCTTCTCTATTATATTTGAGAAGAGTGTACTTGAAGAGGGTAATGGAATCATGCACTAAAGCACACTTGGTACACGGTGGTGCTGTATTTGAATCTCAGACTACCTTTCTAAGGCAAGGAACACTGACCCAAAATAGCATTTGGCTGAAAAGCCAGTTGGGAAAAGAGAACGTTGGTAAACATTAAGTATTCCAAGTGCCTGTTTTTGTCCACTTGACAGGTATTTACTGAATGTTTTATCTGGCAGGCTCTTGTGGAGGTCCTGGGGAGACAGGGTGAACAGGACAGACAGAGTACCTGCTCTCAGGAAGAAGACCTGGCACATGAGCCAGACATTTCACAGATGATCACATAAGTCCATTTTGTTTGTAATTATGATAAGTATTATTCAATACTTTTGTGTCCTTAAAAACTGAATATAAATAAAAAGTACATAACTGTGGTAAAAGATTTGTCCCAAGAAAAGCCCTTCTGATATTTTTGTTTTAACAGTGGAAATAGCTATATTTGATCCAAAGGTCCCTGAAATTTATTTCTTTATTTTTAAGTTCATGGAAGGTGTGGTAGGTGCTTTGGACAGGGAAGCTGCAGCCAAGGCTGTGTGGTGGCTCTGCTGCCATCAAGTGTGAGGTTGCTTGGGAAAATCTAACCTCTCTGGGCCTCAGTTTCATCATCAGGAAGATAAGGCTCTTATTCAGATTCTCCCAAGACCCTTCCTGCTCTGTTTTCTCTGAGTGCATGAGGGACTGAGATGTGTGTTAAATGTGCCCTGGGAACTGCAGCCAAGACCTGGCCTTGGTCTCCTGTCTGTGTATCTCCTGCAGGATTCTGAGCAAAGCCCACACACTGAAAACACAGAACTGAGGGAGCAGATGGAAGAAAGAAAATCAGCGGGTTTAGAGAGTGAGAACAACCCAAAGAAGGGCCAGGTCATGTGGAGCAGGGTTTGCCAAAGGAGGTGAGAATAAGGACAAGTTGAGTTCAGGAAGTCGAAGGAAACTGAGGAATGTGTACAGCATCATCCAGCTCCTCAAGGAGCAGGCTGAGCTGAGCAGTGAGGACTGGGAGAGTAACTTAGTCCACAGTGAACCTGGGCACTTGCCAAAGAAATCCACAGAATGGATCAGGACTGGTTTCTACTGCTGCGAAGCACCAATTCCAAGAGGAGGAGGATGTGACCATGAGGCTCTTCCCCAGACCCCCTAGCCTCAACCTCAGAGCTGCTGTTACAGTGGATGCCCTTCAAGCAAGCGTGGGCTTAGAGGGATAGATGGTATTTGGAGAAGGGTTGGAGATGTCCATTCTTACCTTAAACAGTACTGCCCTAAGGTCAGGAGGGGCCAGAGTAAGGGGACCCTTGCATCTGAAGGGGTGATACTAATAATATTCTTCAGTATTTACAGTTGACAAAGGTTTTACAAACAATAGCTCTTAAATATTTATTGAGGGCTTAATTTTCCTTATGCCATGTGATGAACTTGGAGTTCAGGTATCAATAAGATTTCCCTGAGGAATCAAAGCAGTGAGAGGAAGAATACAAACAGATAGTTTCAACACAATGTGGTAGCTCTCCTAAACTGTGGTGTTGTGGCAGCCCAGAAGACGGGAGGGTAGGCCGAGGATATCTCTTCCTAATGACAGGGTGAACCATTGAGAGGAATCCCTGAGGATGGTCCTGTCTTCATCAGAGCTCACTACAGGTGAGTGTCATAGGACGTGGAGTGGGTAAGGCAGGCTCCTCTCTAAGGAAGGGGATATGCATGAGAGAGGGGAGAGCATCCCTGACAGGACAGGTGGGACAGGAATGTAGTAAGATAATTGGAGATTTGCGATGACTTTTATCTGGTCAGTGAAGGGACATCACTGAGAGCTTCCTCAGTGCTTGGGTCAGTGCTAGGAGCCATGAATACAGAGATGAATAAAATTCATCTCAGAGCTCTCAGTCTAGTAACCAGGAAGACATGAGAAGTGTAGTGATGGGGGTCATTGGAGGGAGTGGCCAGTGCTGTCTAGGGATGACCTCAGTGGTTGTCCCTGACCTATTCTGATTTTTCCCAACAGCTAGATGACCTGTCATGGCCCAACAACCCTGGACCTCAGCCAGATTTCAGCCTCTCTGGATACAGCCAACACCTGGGCTCCATGTTGGCTCAAAGCAGTCAACACTACCAAGGTCTCCAGAGGAAACTGCTGATATCAGTAGCTACTATTTCCTGGCCACCTGGAGAAACACATAGGCAAGTTTCCTAAGTCTTACAGGTTCATCCTTGCCATAATGATCAGATGATCTGTCTTCTCTTTGATAAGTGAAATGCTTTCCAGACTTCAGGAGTGTCTCTCCACATCAAAAATAATTTCAATATTGGCCATATTTCTAGAATTTTAGAACTTATTTATCCTCAATTTTCAGATCAAATACCTACGGTAGGAAAGGAGTAAAGAAACTTCCGAGTTTATGGTGAGAATGTAGGGGGCTCTGGGGCTAACATCCTGGTTTTCGGTGGTTGAAGAACACAATGACTTTGTACTCTTAGAAAGAGAATAAACAGCACCCCTCTGTTGCTCTACTGTTAACATATCCCATTCTATAAACTAGAACAAATCTGCTTATCTAGACAACCTGGATTCTAAGTTAGTAGAGCTCAATGAGTGCATTTACTGAGCACCTATGGGTAAAGCATTGTGCTAATTATACTGGGGGATACTGAGGGAGCATATACAAATCCTTACTGAAGTGAGCTGAAAGGTGACTCTTCTCAGCTTAGCCTGGGTTGTCTGTAGATGAGAACATCAATAACAGACACCAGTAAGCTCATCCTGGTGAAAGGAGGAGGAGGATGAATGGCAGCTGGATGATGGCACTGTGCTTTCAACTTCCCAAAGTGTCAGGTCAAAAAGCATCTGAAGGATGTCCTTCAGGGAGTGTCCCAGCTGTCATAATTGAAGTCAGAAATCCTTGGCATGGGACCCCTGCTTGTGTTTCATTTCACACATTATATTTTGATCATAGGAAAATCAACAGAAGGAGCACAGAGATGGACTTGAAAAGACTTAATAATGCTCTCTGGGTGGGCCATGAATAGGAAAACGGTCAAAGGCCCACACAGAAAATGAAGTTTTAGGGAATATAATGTATGGGTGGGATCAAGTGTAGTGAAGCGAGAGAAAAGTGATTTCATTTAACAGCACCTAATGACTTCTGGAGAAAACAAATTCCCCACCTGACCCTAATGATGGCCCAAATGCCAAATAACAGACAACCACTTCCACTGATCTTACAGAAACAGGAGTCCCTTAATACAAGCTGGAAAATGGCTCTACCTCTAGGGCCATGCAATCAAACAGATCCCATGGTAGGTGGCACGAGAAGAGGATGAACTGAGTTTATGACAATGTCCACAAAGTGGTGGAGAAAAAGGTTTGGGGCTTTTGAAGTTGCAGATGAGCTGGCTCACAGCAACATTACACAATTCTGGAAAAAAAAGTTTAGCAAAATTTCAGACTCAATGGACACTAAATATTTAACCCATGATCTGCAATCATTCTGTCACAGGTTATCTACAACTGGCTTGGGCCAACAATGACTTTTCTCAGAGAGATCAGGGATCAGCACAATAGCACACACACACCTGAAATAGAAATGATATATTCAAGAAAAGAGAAAAAAGTAATAATGAATTCTTATTTTCGAATTTTAGTCTCTGACCTAAGCAAACAGTTGAGTACCACAGATGTTAACTATTAATGATGCTCATACAGATTTAAACACAACCTATGGTGATGTTAATGAATAAGGTAAAACAGCTTTTTTTTAAAACAGATATTAGAATTGTAATTCAAGATGTGAATGGAAATGGCAATTAATGTTACATCATCTCAACATCCAACAGGAAACAGGTAAAAGAAGGAAGGAGATAATCGACCCAATGTATAGATTATATGTAATGTACATAGTATTGATTGCGTGGTTATAAACTAATTGGAATAAATCTGTTTATACTGACTCTTGTGTCCTATCAAATAGGCAGAGCATTGGGAAACAGATTGCTGGACTGTAAAGTCCTTTGAGTAATTGGACTTTAAAAAACATTAGACAGACATAAATAAAACACATTTAAAGCTGTTTGTGAGCCATGTTTTAGCCCATCAAGGGTAAACTTTCGCAGAGACACATAACGACAAATGGATGCTTTGGTTTCTTTGAGGCATGTCATCTGACCCACTGGGAATGTGACCTTATGAGTCATCCGGGTGAGCAAGCTTTACAAGATGGGATGTAAAAGTCAGTGACTAAAGAGGTGACTTAAATCTGCTATACACGCCAACCGTGACATAACTTAAACCGAAGGCCATTCGTCCTCCCTTGGGGGAATGAAGCTGACACGAGGGACTACAGAATCTGTTGCAGAATCAGGGCCCCAGTGCTTACATACTGATCAGAGTGGACATCTACTTCTGATATAGAGTAGGAGCCACTGTCTCCAAAGCTACTGAGTGTCACCTGACCAAACCCCTGAGCCTGCCACTATTAATTATGTTAATGCTATTGGTATCATTTTATAATAGATCACATCACAAGTAAGATTAGTCAGAACTGGGCACAAACTCATGATATTCGATGGATATATCATTGCATACCATTCGAAAGCTTCTGGCAGTACATAATGCTGGAATAGATTATTGAAGACTAAATATAAAAATAAGGGAGAACATTGGCACCTAAATCTTACAACAGTTGCAAATCTTACAATCATTGCAGCTAAATACAAGGATCAGTTGGCAGCCTCACGAACTGAATGGTTACTCGTAAGGAAAGCTTATTAAAGAACATACACATCATTTCACAAGCATTGGTCCACAAGAGGGAGCCCTTGTACAATCTCTGCCAGACAGAGGATTTGATATGGGCTGAGTTATTCCTCTTTCGTGGGCTGGTGATAAAGCTCCCAGTGAGTGGAATAAGATTCTTCTCACCAGGCAAATACACAAGTCCCCGAAGATATGATCACTGCCATATCTAACTTGAATCTGAAAAGCATTTGTTTGTAGCAGGATACAAGATCAATATACAAAAATCAATTATGTTTTATGTGATTGTAATGCCTAATTGAAATGTAAAAAGCAATACAATTACAATAGCATCAAACATGAAATAGGGGTAAATCTGACAAAATTACAAAACATTTCACAGAGAAATTAATGAAGACCTAGAAAACGGAGAGAAATTTTTTGTTCAAGGGTCAGGAGGCTTAATATTGTTCAGATGTCAATTTCTCCAAATTTGATCTAAAGATTCAGTGCAACCTCTCTCAAAATCCCAGCAAGTATCTTTGGTAGAAAGTGACCAGTTGGTTCTAAAATTGGAATGAAAATGCAAATGATGTAGCACAGCTAAAACACCTGTAAAATGAAGAACAAAGTTTGAGGGCTAGCTCTACGTGAATTGAAGATCTATTGTAAAGTGATGGTAATCAAAACAGATTGGTGTTGGCATATGACAGATAAATATATCAATGAAACAGAATATAGAGTCCAAAAATAAACTAAAACCTATATGAAGAACAGATTTTTGACAAATGTGAAAAGCAAAGTATTGTAAAAATTATCATCTTTCCATAAGTGATGGACAGTCTTTTCAACAAATGAATATGGAGATGACATATCCATATGCTATGAAAATAAATAAATACATAAACTTGGATCCATACCTCCCAACATATACAAAAAGTAACCTAAAGTGGATTATAGGCCTCGATGTAAACCTTAAATCTTTAAACTTCTAGAAGAAAACATAGTAGAAACATCATTACAACCTTGAGTTAGACATCAATTTCTTATATATGACACCAAAACCATAATTAACAAAAGAACAAATTGATAATTTGGACTTCATCAAAATTAAAAACGTTTGCTCTTTATAAGACATTGGTAACAGAATGAAATGGCAACTCACACTGAGGGAGAAAATATTTGTAAATCATATATCTGATAAAGGACTTCCATCTAGAACAAGAAAGAATTGTCAAAACTCAATGATCAGAAGACCAACAACCCCTTTTAAAAATGGATAAACAATTTATAAAGATACTTTAGCAAAGAATATATATGGAAGGCACATAAGTACATGAGAAGATGCTCTAAATCATTAATCATTAGGAAAATGCAAATTTAAACTATTGCATACAAATTACAATGGCTACAATGAAAAGAATGCCCATTCCAAGTATTGGCAAGGATGTGTAGGAAGTAGAACTCTCATATAGTGCTGATGGGAATGTGAAATTGTACAACTACTTTAGAAAACAGTTTGAAAGTTTTAAAACTGTGAAAACTATAGCTACCAAATGATATCACTATTCCACCCAAGAGAAAAGAAAGGATATATCCACACAAATCTGTTGATAGCAGCTTTATTTTTAACGCCAGAATACCATCCAGATCCATCAACAGGTGAATGAATAAAACAAATTGAGGTGTATCCAGCTCATGGAATGCTACTCAGTTTAGCAGAATGACCTCTTGATACACACAACAACATGGGTCAAGCTCAAAATAATTATTCTGAATAAAAAAAGTCAAAACAAAATAATGTGCATAGTATATGATTCCATTTATATTAAAACTGAGAAAATGCAAATTAATCTTTTGTGACAGAAAGCCAAGGAGTAGTTTCCTGGGGGGGTGGGGGGGACTGTAAGGAAGGCATTATTAGGAACACAAAGAAACTTCTGGGGGTGATAGATACATTCACTGTCTTGATTATGGATGTACATATATGAACAAACTCATTAAATTGTACATCTTAATTACACGTACTTTACTGCATGTAAATTATATCTCAATATAGCTGTTAAAATAGTTTAAAGTATTATGAAAAACACTGAATTTTGGGCTATGAAAGTTATTTTCTATTTTCAAAAAAGTCAACCATATTATCAGGACAAAAGAGAAAAACCATATGATTATCTTGATATATGCAGAAAAAGCATTTGACAGAACTGAAAACCTTTTTCATGATTAAAAAACACACAAGAATCTAACATGCTAAAAATAGAAGGCAGCACTTTCAACGTAACTAAAGGCAGGTTTGAAAACACCACTGGTAATGTTATTCTGAATGGTAAAAGATTGAATGCTTTTCTATTAACACAGAGAAAAAGCAGTAAGACTGCTGTCACTTCAGTTCAACTACAGATCTT